TGCATGCGCTAAGAACATGGCGATGTTACTTGGAAGGGGTAGAGTTCGTGATCACCACTGACCATTGTCCGAACACATACTTTTCTACCCAAGCTACCCTCACTCGCCGTCAGGCCTGTTGGGCTGAACTCCTTAGTGGGTTCAGTTTCGACATTCGTTATCGTGCAGGTTCCACGAACCTAGCTGACCCCCTCAGCAGACAGCCGATAGGGGCAGCAATTGGGCTTGATGATACCGAACATGCGGCTGTTTTTGCTGCCTGTTTTGGCACACTAGCTGTGGCGAAAGTGAACGAGATCGCGTTCAGTGGTTTTCTGAAAGGAATTCGTACAGGATATCATATTAATTCCTGGTTCCAGAACCCAAAAAACACTAGACATTTGACATGGAAACACGATCTTTGGTGGCGAACAAAAGAGATTGCGGTACTTCACGTAGGCAATCTGCGGAACGATATTTTAGAAGAGGTGCATGGCACTAAATATGGGGGACACTTGGGCATGAATAAGACCCGATGGGCCCTACGAGATGTGTATTGGTGGCCAGGAGTCGGTAGTGATGTCCAATAGTTTGTGGCACGTTGCGACACGCGCACACGTAACAAACCGGACACACAGAAGCCTGGTGGTTTGCTTCAACCACTTGAAATTCCGAGTGAACCTTGGGAAAACGTTGTCAGAACATTATAGCTTATGCTTTTGTGTAGGCTGTAGTGGGGTAGCCCATATGGGGTACAACCCAATTAGGGTTAGTACTTGTACCCAACTCTTTCATAGTTCATTCATTCTCGTTTCTTCTCATGGTATCAAGCAGGTTCCCTAACGGGAACGATTCCTAGGGCCCACCACTACGATTTTTTTTTCCTGCCCGGAGCGCGCTCCACTCAGGACCGAGTCGCGCCCCGTGTGCTCTCCTTACCGTCGCGCCCTCGCTAGGCCCCTCACGGCCCCGTCGCGTCGCCCTTAGCGGCCCTCTCACGGCCCGTCGCGCCGCCCTTACGGCCCGCGCGCCGCCCTTTCCGGCCCGTCGCGCCACCCTTCTACGGTACCGTCGCGCCGCCTCTTCCGCGGCCACGTCGTACCGCCCTCTACAGCCCGTCGCCGCCCTCCACCTACGGCCTCGTCGCCGCCTCCACTTACGGCCCGTCGCCGCCTCTCACAGCGGCCCCGTCGCCGCCTCTTACAGCGGCCCCACCGACCCCGCGCGCCGCCCTACCGGCCCCTTGCGCCGCCCGTCGGCTCTGCACGCCGCCCTAGCGGCCCTGACGCCGCCCTCCCCGGCCCCGGCGCCGCCTCGGCTGGCCCCGGCGCCTCCTCCTACGGCCCCGGCGCCTCCTCCTACGGCCCCAGCGCCTCCTCCTACGGCCCCGGCGCCGCCCTTCTCGGCCCCGACGCCGCCTTACCCGGCCCCGTCGCCGCCTTACCCAGCCCCCTCGCCGCCCTCTCACAGCCCCACCGCCGCCCTTTCAGCGGCCCCGCCGCCTCTTCTTAGCTGCCCCGCCGCCTCCTCTCAGCGGCCCCGGAGGCCGCCCTCTAATCGACCCTTCCGCCGCCTCCTTTGCGGCCCCGCCGGACTGCCCAGCAGCCGAGCCGCCCAGCAGCCGAGCCGCCCAGCCGCCGAGCCGCCCAGCAGCCGAGCCGCCGAGCCGCCCAGCAGCCGAGCCGCCCAGCAGGCGAGCCGCCGAGCCGCCGAGCCGCCCAGCAGCCGAGCCGCCGAGCCGCCCAGCAGCCGAGCCGCCGAGCCACCGAGCTGCCGAGCCGCCGAGTCGCCCTGCAGCCGAGCCGCCAGAGCCGCCCTGTTCGGTGAGAGCAACGCCTCTGTCACTGTACTGCCCTCACCCTGTTGTTCGCGCTGCTAGTCTACTGCTGTCATGGCTACCCCTAGTGTCCTCGCTTTTGACGCTGAGGGTCGGGCCATTGACTTTGACGTCTAGATAGATGACCTGCAGCTTTTCTTACAGTGCGATAGGGCAGACGGTCTCTCTCTCTTTGACCTCACCTCTGGTGCCTCTCCTGCCCCTGCTGCTGATGCTGACGCCACTGTTCGCTCACAGTGGGCCACGCGCGATGCTGCTGCACGTCTTGCTGTGCGTCGCCACCTCCCTACCTCTGAGCGTGCGCACTTTAGCCAGTACAAGAGTGCTCAGACCTTGTACGACGTTGTAGTTGCACGCTACTCCTCCCCTGCCACTGCTGCACTGAGCCGCCTCATGCTACCGTACCTCTTCCCTAACCTTGTTGCCTTTCCCACAGTCGCTGACCTCATTACGCACCTCCGCACTAGTGACACTCGCTTCCGCGCTGCGCCTCCTGCTGAGTTATTCGCCAAGAACCCCCCCCAATGTACATCACTCTCTACTACATAGTCACCCGCCTCCCTGACTCCCTTCGCGTAGTCATGGACCACTTCCTCTCAGTTTGTCCCACCACTCTCACTGTTGGCCTCCTCCAGAAGGCCCTCCTAGCAGCGCAGAAGAGCATAGTCGCTGTAGGAGCCTCTCGAGGTGACCCGCGCACCCCCATCTTTGAGGTGTGTTCCCCCTCCCCCCTTTTGCCCTCTGTTGCCTCTGCTGCTGCGACCGACCTCGTTGGGCTAGAGCCGGTCGGTGCGGCATCTACCCCTAGCGGGAGACGCCGCCCTGGTAAGGGCAAGGGGGGCAGGGGCGCTGGAGGAGCTAGCGGGGGAGGTGGAGGCGGCGGTGGAGGTGGCGGAGGGAGTGGGGGTGGCGGTGGGGGTGGTGGCGGGGGTCGAGGTGTCGGTGGCGGCAGTGGAGGCGGAGGCGGCGGCGGTGGCGGGGGTGGCGGCGGTGGAGGAGGCGGTGGCGGAGGAGGTGGAGCTGGTCGGGGTGGCGTTGCGCAGAGGGTCGGCTCCGGTGGTGGTCAGCGCCAGCAGCAGCAGCAGCGCACTCGTGACATCCACCCCCCTCAGCAGCTCCGTAAGTGGTACGCTGTACGCCAGCGGGGTGGGGGTACTGGTCTGTGCACCTACCTCCTACGCACCGGCGACCGCGCGGGTGAGCAGTGTGGGGGTGTGCACCCCACCCAGCGCTGCTTTGGCCGCCTGACGAACGCTTGGCGTCACCAGTTTCCGGAGGCCACAGAGACCCCCCGCTGGGGTGAGGTGTCTAGGGCGGGTGTTTCTATCTTTGATCTTGACTTTGATGCTATTCTTGCTGCCATATATGCTGTGACTATTAGTGATGAGGGTGACTGTTACTCGTGTTTCCTGCCCGACCCAGGCATTGAGACTGCGGCTCTAGGTACTAGTGAGGCTGCTGCTCTAGGTGCTAGCGAGGCTGCTTCTCTAGGTGCTAGTGCGTCTGCTTCCTCAGGTGCTGGTGAGTCCGCGCTCTCAGGTACCGAGTCGGCTTCGACCTCCCTCACCTTCACCCTTGACCCGGGGGCTTCTCACCCCTTCTTTCGAGACCGCACCACACTCACGCCGCTTGGTCGGCCAGTTGCAGTCTCTCTGGCAGACCCCTCTGGGGGTCCTGTCCTTGCTCACTTCTCCACAGTCCTCCCGTGCTCGGCGGCTCCCTCTGGCACCCTGTCTGGTCTTTACCTCCCGTCGTTCTCTACGAACTTGGTGAGTGGTGCTGACCTTCAGGATGGGGGAGTTCACCAGTTCACTCCTGCGAGCCAGCGGGTGACCCACTGCACGGACGCTCGGACGGGCCGACACTTGGCCACGTTTACTCGTCGGCCAGGGTCGAGCCTGTACACACTGACCACTACGTCTCCTTCTGTCCCTGCGTCTGGTCAGGTAGCTGCGTCAGGTCAGGTGTTTGCTGCAGCGTCCAGGTCTGGTCCTGAGTGTGCCCCCTGCTCGTGTCGCCTCCTGTCTCACGAGACTCCTTGGTCACCACCGCCTTGGTCACCCCTCCCTGCTTCGTCTCCGAGGTATGGCCTCCCGTGTCCTTGTCTCTGGTCTTCCCCGGTCCCTCCCTCCCCTTCCTCCGGGGCCTGGCCCTACCTGTGTCCCCTGTGTTGAGGGGCGGTAGCGGGCTGCCCCTCACTCCTCCCAGTTTCCTCTAACAGAGGCCCTGCTGCAGATGCTTCACCTGGACGTGTGGGGCCCCGCCCGTGTCCGTGGACTGGGTCACTAGCGCTACTTCCTGTTGGTGGTTAACGACTACTCGCGTTACACCACAGTCTTCCCCTTGCGCAGCAAGGGTGATGTCACTGAGGTGCTGGTCGACTGGATCCGCGCAGCTCGTCTCCAGCTCAGGCAGAGCTTCAGCTCGGACTTTCCTGTTCTGCGTCTGCACTCTGACAGAGGCGGAGAGTTCTCCTCTGACCTTCTGCGAGCCTACTGTCGTGCACGAGGCATCCGCCAGACCTTCACGCTTCCGGACTCTCCACAGCAAAATGGGATTGCTGAGCGCCGCATTGGCATGCTCATGGACGTCGCCCGTACGTCCATGATGCATGCGGCTGCCCACCATATTCTGTGGCCGTTTGCGGTTCGGTACGCGGCGCATCAGATCAACCTTCACCCCAGGGTCTCCAGGCCGGAGACCCCTCCAGCCTTGCTGTGGACGGGGAAGGTTGAAGATGCGTCTGTGTTCCGTGTCTGGGGATCTCGGGCGTTTGTCCGCGACTTGTCTACGGACAAGCTGTCCCCTCGTGCTGCTCCATGCGTCTTCCTGGGTTTCCCCCCTGACGCGCCAAGGTGGCAGTTGAGAACCCCAGGAAGACGCAAGGTGCAGCACAAGGGGACAGCTTGTCCGTAGACAAGTCGCGGACAAACGCCCGAGATCCCCAGACCCGGAACGCCGACGCATCGCCAACCTTCCCCGTCCACAGCAAGGCTGAGGAGGTCTCCGGCCTGGAGACCCTGGGGTGAAGGTTGATCTGATGCGCCGCGCACCTGACCGCAAACGGCCACAGAAAATGGGTGGCATCCGCGTGCATCATAGACGTACGAGTGACGTCCATGACCATGCCAATGCGGCGCTCAGCAATCCCATTTTGCTGCGGAGAGTCCGGAAGCGTGAAGGTCTAACGGATGCCTCGTGCACGACAGTAGGCTCGCAGAAGGCCAGAGGAGAACTCTCCGCCTCTGTCCGAGTGCAGACGCAGAACAGGAAAGTCCGAGCCAAAGCTCTGCCTGAGCTGGAGACGAGCTGCGCGGATCCAGTCGATCAACACCTCAGTGACATCACCCTTGCTGCGCAAGGGGAAGACTGTGGTGTAACGCGAGTAGTCGTCAACAACGAGCAGGAAGTAGCGCTCGTGACCATGTCCACGGACGCGGGCTGGGCCCCACACGTCCATGTGAAGCGTCTGCAACGGGGCCTCTGTCGGATGAAACTGGGAGGAGTGAGGGGCAGCACGCTGGCGCCCCTCGACACAGGGGACACAGGTAGGGCCAGGGCCCTGAGGAAGGGGAGGGAGGGACCGGGGGAGACCAGACACTAGAAGACGGGAGGCCATGCCTCTGAGCCAAAGCAGAGAGGGGTGACCAAGACGGTGGTGCCAGAGGAGAGTCTCGTGAGACAGGAGACGACACGAACAGGGGGCAGACTCAAGACCAGACCTGGACGCTGCAGCAAACAGCTGGCCTGACGCAGCGACCCTACCAGACTCAGCAACGGGAGGAGACGCAGTGGTCAGTGTGTACAGGCTCGACCCCGGCTGACGGGTAAACGTAGCCAGGTGTCGGCCTGTGCTAGCCTCTGTACAGTGCGTCACCCGCTGACGCGCAGGAGTGAGCTGGTGTACACCCACATCCTGTAAGTCAGCACCACTCACCAGGTTCGTAGAGAACGAGGGGAGGTAGAGACCAGCCAGGGTGCCAGAGGGAGCCGCCGGACACGGGAGGACTGTGGAGAAGCGAGAAAGGACAGGACCCCCAGAGGGGTCAACCAGAGACACTGCAACCGGCCGACTTAGCAGCGTGAGTGTGGTGCGGTCCCGAAAGAAGGAGCGAGACGCCCCAAACTCAATGGTGAAGGTGAGGGAGGCCGAAGTCGACGTAGTACCTGAGAGCGCAGACTCACCAGTACCTGAGGACGCAGACACACTAGCACCTAGAGCAGCAGCGTCGCAAGCACCTAGGGCAGCCGCCTCACCAGTACCTAGAGCAGCAGTCTCAATGCCCGGATCGGGCGGGAAACACCGGTAACAGTCACCCTCATCACTAATAGACACAGCATACATGGCAGAGAGAATAGCATCAAAGTCAAGATCATAGATGGCAACACCCGCCCTAGACAGCTCGCCCCAGCGAGGGATCTCTGAGGCCTCCGGGAAGTGGTGACGCCACGCGTCCGTCAGGCGGCCAAAGCAGCGCTGGGTGGGGTGGGCTCCCCCACACTGCTCACCCGCACGGTCGCCGGTGCGCAGAACGTAGGAGCACGGACCAAAACCCCCACCTTGCTGGTGTGCAGTGTACCACTCACGGAGCTGCTGAGGGGACAGGGTCTCACAACCGCGCTGCTGCTGCTGGCGCGAGCCACCACCGGAGCCACTCCTCTACGAAGACCCGCGACCAGCTCCACCGCCACCCCCGCCGCCTCCGCCGCCTCCGCCGCCTCCGTTACTGCCGCCGCCTCCGCCTCCGCCTCCACCACCGCCACCTCCGCCACCTCCGCCCCCACCGCCACCGCCGCCGCCGCCTCCGCCTCCACTGCCGCCACCGACCCCTCCACCCCCACCTCCACTACCACCGCCACCCCCACTCCCCCCACCGCCGCCACCTCCACCTCCACCGCACCCGCTCGCTCCTCCAGCGCCCTTTCCCTCCTTGCCCTTGCCAGGGCGGCATCTCCCGCTAGGGGCTGACGCCGCACCGACCGACTCAAGACCAAGGAGGTCGGCCGTAGCAGCAGAGGCAACAGAGGGCAGAAGGGGGGAGGGGGAACACCCCTCAAACATGGGGGTGCGCGGGTCACCTCGAGAGGCTCCTACAGCGACTATGCTCTTCTCTATCGCTAGGAGGGCCTTCTCGAGGAGGTCGACAGTGAGAGTGGTGGGACAGACTGAGAGGAAGTGGTCCCTGACTACACGAAGAGAGTCAGGGAGGCGAGTGACGATGTAGTAGAGAGTGATGTACATGGGGGGGGGGGGGGTTCTTGGCGCAGAAGTCAGTAGGAAGTGCAGCGCAGTAGCGAGTGTCACTAGTGCGGAGGTGCGTAATGAGGTCAGCTACTGTGGGAAAGGCAGCAAGGTCAGGAAAGAGGTACGGTAGCATGAGACGGCTCAGTGCAGCAGTGGCAGGGGAGGAGTAGCGCGCGACTACAGCGTCGTACAAGGTCTGAGCACTCTTGTACTGACTAAAGTGCGCACGCTCGGAGGTAGGGAGGTGGCGACGCACAGCAAGACGTGCAGCAGCGTCGCGCGTGGCCCACTGGGAGCGAACAGTGGCGTCAGCATCAGCACCAGGGGCAGGGGAAGCGCCAGAGGTGAGGTCAAAGAGAGAGAGGCCGTCTGCCCTATCGCACTGTAAGAACAGCTACAGGTAATCTACCCAGACCTCAAAGTCAATGGCCCGACCCTCAGCGTCAAAGGCGAGTACACTAGGGGTAGCCATGACTCTAGACGACTAGCAGTGCAAACAGTAGGGTGAGGGCAGTGCAGTGAAAAAGGCGCTGTGCTCACCAGACTGGGCAGGTCGTGCGGCTCGGAAGTAGGGCGGCTCGGCGGCTCGGCTGCTGGGCGGCTCGGCGGCTCGGCGGCTCAGCTGCTGGGCGGCTCGCGTGCTGGGCGGCTCGGCTGCTGGGCAGCTCGGCTGCTGGGCGGTTCGTCTGCTGGGCGCCTCGGCTGCTGGGCGGCTCGGCTGCTCTGCTGCCTGGCGGCTCGGTTGTGCTGCTGTAGGGCGGCGCGGCGGTCGGCTGCTCGGCCGGGTGAGACGGCTCGGGTGGCGGGCAGCACTGCAGCAGGTGACGGGGCCGAGAGCGAGGCGACGGGGCCGCAGATAGGGTGGCGGGGCCGCTGAGTAAGGCGGCGGGGCCGAGAGTGAGGCGGCGGGGCCGCAGGTAGGGTGGCGGGGCCGCTGAGTGAGGCGGCGGGGCCGAGGTAGGGTGGCGGGGCCGCTGATAGGGTGGCCGGGCCATAGGTAGAGCGGCGGGGCCGCAGATAGGGTAGGGTGGCGGAGCCACGGGTAGGGTGGCGGGGCCGCAGGTAAGGCGGCAGAGCCGCGGGTAGGGGCGGCACGTGACGCCGCAAAGGCCGGCGACGGGCCAGTACGGGCGGCGACGGGCCGGGACAGGCGGCGCACGGGCGGCGACGAGCCGGGACAGGCGGCGACGGGCCAGGGCGGGCACCGCACGGGTGGCGACGGGCCGGGACAGCGGCGCGGGGCCGGGACGGGCGGCGCACGGGCGTCGACGGGCCGGGACGGGCGGCTAAAGGGCGGCGCCGGGCCGCGTAGGGTGGCGTCGGGCCGCTAAGGGCGGCGGAAGGAAGCTCGCTAGGGGCGACGCGACGGGGCCGAAGCGAGGCGCGCTCCGGGCAGGAAAAAAAAATGTTCGATTTTGGTGGGCCCTAGGAACAGTTCCCACGAGGGAACCTGCTCGATACCATGAGAAGAAACGAGAATTGAATGACTAAGTGAAAGTTGGGTACAAATACAAACCCTAGAAAGCTGTACCCCATATGTGCTACCCCACTATAGCCTACAATAGCTATGTCATATAAATCTGACGGCAGTTCTACCACCCCACCTCTCGCTGTGTTCAATCCTCCCAGGACGTCACGTTTGACGAGTCGGTCCCCTACTACCGTCGCTCTTCCTTGTACCAGGTCCCCCCCCGGTAGACCCCCTCCCCCCTCAGGGTCCGGCCCCTTCAGGTGTGTCCCAGGTAGACGCAGTCGAGCATGTCGAGGTCACTGGTGACTCTGGTGCTGCTGAGGGTGCTGAGCCTGGGGGTGCTGACTCTGAGGGTGCTGTGCGTGTGCGTGCTACACCTGGGGGTGCTAAGACTGGGGGTGCTGAGCCTAGGGGTGCTTAGACTGGGGGTACTGAGACTGGGGGTGCTGAGACTGGGGGTGCTGAGCCTGGGGGTGCTGAGCCTGGAGGTGCTACGCGTGGGGGTGCTGAGCCTAGGGGTGCTACGTCTGGAGGTGCTGAGCCTAAGGGTGTGGAGCCCGAGGGAGCTGGGCCTGCTTGTGAGGCGTCCGGCGGTGCTGGGCCTGGAGGTTCTCCGGGTGCTTCGTCTCAGCGGGAGCCACTCTCTCCACAGGAGCTGCGCGAGTGGTTTGGCCGGCGCTGGAGGCGTACTGCTGGAGGTGGAGGTTATTTGGCTGCTGAGGGTGCTCGTGCCGCGGATCCCGGAGGTGCTCGTACTGGAGGTACTGGAGCTGCTGGGCCGGCGGGTGCATCTGGAGCTGCAGCTCCTGAGGGTGTTGGCGCTCAGACTTCTGCTGTCGGTCCGGGCGGCTGTGTTGCTGGAGGTACTGGAGCTGGAGGTGCTGCTGGCGCTGGTGCTGCCGCTGGGGGTGCTGGTGCTGTCCCTGCTGTGTCTGGAGTCGTTGCGCGGCAAAGGCCGTACTTCGTTCCGCTCCTTCAACAGGTTCTTGGTCTCCCGCCCTATACTGGTCGTCCTCCTCCCTTAGAGTGTCCACAGCCTGTCCTGTCACAGTTACAGTTACAGCCTGCCTCACCACTGCCTGCTCCTTCTCCCTACACTGGTCCTACTGGAGGTCTTGCTGAGCGTCGTGAGCCTGCGTCCCGCCCTGCGTCGCCTGTCCGTGCTGCTCGCACTAGTGGTGGCAGTTCGCGTCAGCGTCCTCCTCCTGTCCCTGGCACGCACCGGATGTCTCTGCGTCCGTCTACTGCTCCTCTGCGTGCCCCGTTGCCTTCTCCTCCTAAGTCCTCTCTTCCTGCTCTTCCCGACCCGGAGTCGGACTCTCTTGGTGCTGCCAGTCCTACTGTCACGCGTCTCCTTGCTACTATCGTCACTGACCCTTCCTTTGAGTCCACTGGTGCGTCTGCTCTCGATACTGAGCTCGTCGACTTTGCTGCTCGTTGTCATCTAGACCACGCTGCTAGTCTTGTCGCTGAGTCCGAGTCTGTCTGTCCTCCGTCCGTCGGGGGTGAGTGTGCCCTTGGCACGGACGTCCTTGAGGACAGGCAGGAGGAGTTCCAGTGTCTGGCTGCTGCTTCTCAGTGGCTTCAGTCAGCGGCAGGGAGTTGACTACTTTCAGACCTTCTCTCCCACCCTGAAGATGACCACTCTTCGGGTGTTGCAGCACATAGCGGCTCAGCGCGAATACGAGCTTCACTCTCTTGACTTCAGCACTGCTTTCTTGCAGGGTAGCCTGCACTAGGAGATCTAGCTGCGCCGCCCACTTGGCTTCACTGGGACTTTTCCTCCTTGCACCCAGTGGAGCCTCCGGCGACCAGTCTACGGTCTCCGCCAGGCACCGTGTGAGTGGCACGACACACCGAGGACTACGCTTGCGGCTCTTGGGTTTGCTCCTTCTACTGCCGACCCGTCGTTGTTTCTGCGCACCGACACTTCTTTGCCGCCGTTCTACATCCTCATGTACGTCGACGACTTGGTCTTTGCCACAGCTGACACTGCTGGACTCGCCCACGTGAAGTCCGAGCTGCAGAAGAGACACACGTGCACAGACCTGGGTGAACTGCGCAGCTACCTTGGCTTGCAGATCACCCGGGACAGAGCACGCCACACCATTACCCTGACTCACTCACACATGGTGCAGCAGGTCCTTCAGCGCTTCGGCTTCACGTACTCCTCGCCTCAGGCCACTCCTCTGCCTACTCGCCACTCACTCTCAGCTCTGCCTTCGGATGAGTCTGTAGAGTCGAGTGGCCCGTACCCAGAGCTTGTTGGCTGCCTTATGTACCTGATGACCTGCACTCGACCTGACCTTGCATACCCTCTTAGCATTCTCGCACGCTATGTTGCTCCTGGGAGACACCGACCAGAGCACATGGCTGCAGCGAAGAGGGTGTTGTGCTACTTGTGCAGTACGTCGAGCATGGGGCTTGTGCTTGGAGGGCGGAGTCCAGTGGTCCTCATTGGGCACGCAGACGCTTCTTGGGCTGATGACCAGGCTACGCAGCGGTCGTCACAGGGTTACACCTTCAGCCTTGGTTCCGGCTCTGTTTCGTGGCGGGCTACCCGCTCGTCTTCTGTTCTCGACTCCAGTTGTGAGGCTGAGATCTACGCCGGGGCCATGGCTGCACAGGAGCTTCGCTGGCTCACCTACCTGCTGACTGACCTTGGAGAGGTGCCTCGTTCTCCCCTAGTGCTGTACGTAGACAACAAGGCCATGCTGGCCTTGTGTCGAGAGCAGAGACTGGAGCACAGAACGAAGCACATTGCTCTTCGCTACTTCCTTGCTCGTGAGCTGCAGCACCGTGGTCAGCTGCGGCTTGCGTACGTGGCCTCTGAGGCCAACACTGCTGATATCTTCACCAAGGCACTTGCGCCTTGTGATCATCAGCGCTTCTGTACTCAGCTTGGTCTTGTGCCTGTCTTGCCTCACTTGCTCACCTCTTGACCTTGCTTGTACTGTTACATATATATACACGTGCTCTTGCTTGTCTAGCCTTCTATATATATATGTACTCCTGCATGTGAAATGGCCTTGTGGCCTTGAACTTGTGCTCAGAATATGTGGTGACTTTGTGATCGACCCTGAGCTTGCTTTGCTTTGCTTTGCTTGACTGGTCTTGTGACCCCTTGTTCTCCCCCACTTTGCCTATGGGGGTGTGTCAGAACATTATTGCTTATGCTTTTGTGTAGGCTGTAGTTGGGTAGCCCATATGGGGTACAACCCAATTAGGGTTAGTACTTGTACCCAACTCTTTCATAGTTCATTCATTCTCGTTTCTTCTCAAGCGTTTCACTAGATTTCATCACCGACCTCCCAAGAACCCGTGATGGGTATACGGCGATACTCGTCTTTGTAGATCGCCTCACAAAAATGGTGCACTTCGTACCCACGACAACAGACGTATCGGCAGAGGATACTGCTCGGTTGTTCGTGACACATATGTTCCGTCTACACGGATTGCCACGTATATTAGTGTCTGATCGCGACCCGCGCTTCACGAGCCGATTCTGGCGTGAAGTAACCGAGACACTAGGAACAAAGCTTAAGATGTCGTCAGCGTTCCATCCCCAGAGAGATGGGCAAACGAAACGGACTAACCGCACTCTCGAGCAGATGCTTCGTTCTTTCATAAGCCCAACACAGGACAATTGGGACGAGTTGTTACCCATGGTCGAGTTTGCGGTTAACAACTCAGTGCATGATAGCACACATGAAAAACCATTTATCCTGAACTGTGGTCGGCATCCCACAACACCTGCTACGCATGGGATTGGCGGTTTGAAATTACCTGCCGCAAAGGATTTTGTGGGCAAGCAACGAGAGGCCCTAAAGTCGGCACGTTGTTGGCTGCAATAAGCCCAACAGAGGCAAAAATCCTATGACGATATGAAACGCCGGGAAGTTTCATTCTCCGTTGGAGACAAAGTTTTGTTAAGCACGAAGAATATTCGGGTTAAGATCCTTGGTGCGAGAAAGTTGTTCCCTCGCTGGATTGGGCCCTTCGAGGTCGTTCAACAAGTTGGTGAGGTAGCTTGCAAGCTCAAGCTACCTGATACCCTGCAGATTCACAATGTCTTCCATGTGTCTCTGTTAAGCAAGTACGTTGCAGAAGGCAAGTACTTACCACCACCAACAATCGTCCTAGGGAAGGAACTGTACTATGAAGTCGAACGAGTGCTTTTGCATCGTGATCGACAACGCGGCCGCAAGAGTGTACGAGAGTTCCTCATTAAGTGGAAAGGCTGTGGGCCTGAACACAACTCATGGGAGCCGGAAGAACATTTGACTGATACTGCGGTTCAGTCTTACATGGAAGACCTGGCTCAGCGAGCACTCCCACAACCAGCTGATGGTGTTGACCCTGGTCGTAATGTGGTTCGTCGTGCTCGTAGCACTCGTCCTAAGAAGCACCCCACGGCAACGAGGACGTTGCTGTCAGAACATTATAGCTTATGCTTTTGTGTAGGCTGTAGTGGGGTAGCACATATAGGGTACAACCAATTAGGGTTAGTACTTGTACCCAACT